GGAATTGCTAAATTATTGCAACTTACAGCAAGGAATCCAAGCATCCAGCAGCTCCTCCATGCTCCCAGACATTGCGTCTGCTTAAGTTAATGAGATGTTAAAATGGAATCTCTGCCCGTTGGCCGGACGCAGTTTAGTTTCCCGCACGTTGTGATTTCACATTTTTCTAGCAGCTCCTTTAGCAATTTCCTTGACTTTTTGTTGAGTTGGCGGCATCAAATGCTGCCGGCTAACGGTTTTTAACTATTTTCTGTCTACACCTGAGTTTCTTAATGATGAAAACATTATAAATATGCGTGGGAGATAAGACTGCAGCCACACAGGCGCTTAAATTGCATCGACTATAGCCTCAATTATGCAATAGAAACAGAGCGTTTAGTTCCTCAGTGACATTAATGAAAATAAGTCAAACTCTCTGTTGTTCCACACTGTCTACCAGCAATATAGAGACACACTACATTTTCATTTAGCTTTCAGATGTTGAGCAGGGTTGAATGAGAGAGGACTAAGATATTATTTTTGGAATGGGCGATTAGCTCGAAGAATTTCGTTTGTACTAAACACGATATACTTGAAATATATTGAAGAGCTGCGTTTGTTAATTTTATGCAAATGGCTGTGGTGGCCTTAAGCTGCTGGACGGGCACAACCAGCAACCAACAAGCAGCTACCAGGGGCATAATAAAGAAGCGCGATAAACTGGAACTAATTTAGTAAACAAGCTTTGAAAAAGGGCACGCGAGGACCAACGTGTTAGGCTGCCAAACGCGGACGTTCAAACCCTCTACCCTTAACCCAAAACAATTCATGTGTGCGAGTGTGCACTTAACGGGTGAAATGGCAGCAGCTCGTTGTGTGACGTCCTACGTCAGATCGCCCTGCCATTGCTATTGCGAGCGCCGTTGGCAGTGCCTTAGCAGCATTATTCCTTCAGAGTCCACCAACATTATTATTATTCTAAATTCGCTTTGTAATTACTTGAAATTTTCCAACTCATTAGCGTGTTTAGCACATCCTATCAAATCATTACAATATTACAAACATTACAAACAGAGACAGGAGAACGGAAACAGAGATATTATTATCAACAAGTAATATTATCAAGATCAATTTTATATTTATTTAAATTGTATGTTAAGGTGCAACAGTTAATTAAAGCCAAGCCTCAATAGGCATATCCCTTGGTCCCATTCACTAATCATTGCATAGCTGCACTTACATATGTGAAAATTACTCTACTTGGTGGCTATATCACCATCCATCGTATCTGTACTTATGTTTCTTTCTTATGATTGACTCCCAGTGAGTACGTAAAGAGCTGTAGAATCGGCAACTATCCCACATCAGCCGCCGTTAACTCGGCATATTATGCCATTCTTTCCTAATGCTCAATACACACTAAATGCATCGTTTTTCTTCCGAGCTTGACAGGTTTGATGTACGTATACATAAATATATAAGGGTAAATCGCCTTATCAAAGCCTTTGCTGTCATGTATTATGCTCATTACTGTTGTTCTTCTTGCTATTTGCATTGCTCGTATTTCTGGATTGTGCTTAAAATCACACTTCAAAGTACATAGAATATTGAATGGAGCTTATCTGCGGCAAAGCTAAGACGCACACAAATTTGCACCCGTCGCACGAAGGTAACAGTGAGCATAGATTTATGTCGTCTGCGGAACATTCCTCGCCCCGTCTGGGTCATATTTATATGAAAAGCAGTGTGGCTGCGAAATACGCCGAAAAAAGTGATGTATTTCCATACTTTCACGCTTCGTGAAATACTGTTGCGTCGCCCTAGCTTTGCTGGCTTTGGGTCTGTCCAGTCAATGGCCCTGACAGCGCCAGCAACAGTTGAAACGGTGAGCGGCGGAGCTGCGGCTCACGCGGCGCTGTCGACGTCATCGTCATGCCCCAGCGCGGTGGGCAGCCCAAAGGTAATAGGCAGTAGGCAGTAAGTAGAGTAGACAGAAGCAATGCACAATTTCCCCGCCGGCACGAGGCTCGGCTCGTGACACTGATTTAGCCGAGCAAAAACGAGTGTTATTGGAAGAAGAGCCATCAATAGGGCTCCCTCTACCATTGCTGCTTCTGGTGCTGCTGCTGCYGCCACAGCCAAACAAGGCAATGTGAATACGGTGCTGTAGGGATTTCTCCTACTCTCTCATACATACAGACCTATGCAGACCAGCTACACAAGCACAAGCGCAACAACACCCAACGCACCACACTCACACTCGCAGTCACACTCACACTCACACCCACACTAACGCAAATCGCCCTTGCTCGTGCTCTTTCGGATGCCCCGTCGTATTGGGGGTTGGAAAAGCATCGTTGCCGCTAGGCTCGCCGTCGTGTTGGGTTCACTGTTGCCCTGTAAAGAGTTTTCATTATAAATGAAAATCAGTTGTTGGTTCATTCAATTCGTGACGTTCAAGGCGGAAGTACATGCCAAAAGCTTTGTAGCGGCGGCTTTGCTCTCCACTCTGTATTGTATTTCTGTTGCTCTTGTGCCGCTCTGAATGTCGTGTCCGCGCTAAGGAAACTCTGCGTTTTAAACAATTTTTTTTAATAGTGTACCATATCATTTTTGTTTTTGTGCAATCATAATAAGACTGTGTAACTTAAATAAAGGAAAGAAAATAACTTTAGCTGTAGTTTGACTCAAGTGAAAAACGAAAGTGGAAGCTACTAAACTACGGCAAAATACATAATGATGATGATAATCAATCCGATGATTTGACTCTACCAAATGTAAGTATGGACAAAATTACCCTCCGTTAGAAAGGTTTGTAGTAGCACATGTTAGTCTCAACTTATGTTACATAGAACTAACAGGTAGTTAATATATTAACGATATGTTGACCGAAGTGCCAGTAAAAGATTTGTTTGATGAATTGTTTTTTTAATCCGTCAGATAGCCGTTACAAACGGTAAATATAAATCAATCGAAGCCTTGCTCACGTTGAAAAATAATTCAAATTGTGTTGCATATCAAGTCCAATCAAGAACTGGAAATTATCTATCCTTTTCGCCTTTGCTATTTGAAAGAGAAAAGAAACCTTACTAAGTAGTTCCTCTTAATGATCCAGCGAAGCCATGGATGATCAAAGTTGGAATAGTAAGACTGCATTTTTGAGAAAGTCGATGTTTCTTTTTAAAATTTGTTATGAAGTGGATCGACTCATCGGATTCTATTTTAGAAATATCAACAAATACTTGAAACTTAGCGTCATATATGCATGTAGTTTAAATAAAAATGTAAGGTATATTAGCCGTCGACTAGTTAGCTACTGTGTCAATTTGGATCGACGATATTTTTATTAAACGATTCGGACAAAGTTCAGCAAAGGACCATTTAACCGCTTCAGCTTGTTTCAATATCATCAGTGCAGCAGGAAATCAGTTCCACTCGTCCGACGAAACGCATTAAGCGCGAACCAAAAGCCAGTCAGTCACTCAGCAAGCCAGTGAGCCGAGGCTTCGTTGCACAGTCGTCAAACTAGTACGTTTTAATGTTACCTCACTTGGCTTTTGTGTGCCCATTCTTTATGTTTATTGATGCACAATTAAACCGCATTTGGCCAGCCAACCAGATATGCAGACATTCTGTTAGTCTGCCATCCGGCCAACAAACAGATTCTTTGTATGCTGTCATGGTCTATTGCCGACCAAATTTACTAGGAGTGTAGTTAAATTCCAATGAGTTCACCTATAGGCGCAAATAAAGACAAACACAACAATTGCATATATACATATATCTATATATATACATATATACTATGCATAAATAAACATATAAAGCTTGTTATTCAATTTGGTCAAAATAAATTTGACATTTGAAATGGAAGCGAAGAGCTTGATTAGATCCTCTTTTTATTAAAAGCAAATTATATTGTGTTTTGCACTCACATATGTCGAGAATCATAAATTGGGATTTACATCTGAAAACTTGACTACATGGCCATAGTCGAGTTTGGGCTGACGCAGAAAAGCCAACTTAACTGCCACTTGAATAAAAGGTGTGATAGACATTTGCGCTTGTCAACGCAACGACAAACTTGGCCATTGATACAACTGATAAAAGTACTGAATAGAGCAGACAGCAGGCAGCAGACAACCGACAGCAGAAACAGCGGAAATGTGCGAGATACAATAAACACAGAAACACAACACACACCAACACATCGACATACACACACACACACACACACACTTATGAATAGCTCACTGACTCAACTAGTGGCTGTTGAGGACCGAGTTTGAGTTTGAGCTTGAGCTGAGTGCGAGCTTCAAATGTGAGCTTGAATTTGCCTACTTCCGCTTGCCGTATCGCATATGTCACGCTCTTCTGTCTGTGTGTGCGTGAACTATGCGCATAAAAGGGGCACCTCCGCTGCATCCGCACCCACAGTCCCCTTGTAATGTCACTATCGCAATTTAATCAAATGGACTGAAGTAAATATTTAGCTTCTTCGACTGGGATTATGTTTTAGCCTTCATCTTCGAGTCGATAATATTTAAAGCTCTACGTGAATCAGTTAAGCTGCCGGATGCAGTAACTTTGACTGTAATCTAGTTTTTGTTGACAATTACCTTTTGCATATAAAAATGTTATTTAATTCATTCTAGGCTTTTACCTTGCACAGGTAACTCAATCAATGGCGACTTGCACTGGCCGCAATTTAAATGTATTAGTTATAAATTGGCTTACAGCAAACTCTATTACATTGCGTGAGTGGCAAAGTCAACCTTGTCGCCCGCGCACTCTCCCTCCAGTGCATATAGTAACTATGGCTTGCATATACATATGTAAAAACTTACAGCTTGAGTGGTCCACTTATTCCCAAAACTCACTCTGTTAGTGTCTGAGAAAAATACTCAAGAAGACAATAATAATAATAACATTGACTAAACGTACATCTAGCAAAACTTAGCCTACAACAGTAAGAATCCTACTAATTTCCAAAGTCGAGTTAATAATGAGTCGGTGGATCACAGAGTTCTACTGAATTTGGCATAGAGTAGCACTCTATTTTGCTCAGCTCAGTTCAGTATTTCAATTTAACAATTCCAAATTTAACAAAAGTAACTTACGGCTTTGCTTAGAAAGCAGATTTGGCTTATGCAAGAAAAACTTTCCGTGCTTTAAGTCTTCAACTCTATTTTAAGGCACTCCACGAAGACACGCAATAACCAGTAACAAATGAGCCAAATTGATTAAGTAACAATTTGATTTCGCCTTGTGAGATGTAGAGGCAGCGGCAGTGGGTGGCAATGCACCCACTGACTGAACAGCCCGATCGACTAATTGCTTGGCTCTTGATACACTAGACTCTATTGCGTTCATCCTTTTAGAGCACAAGTTGCATCTGCACTCATTGAGGTCTCCATTTAGTCCACATGCACTTCCGTTATCTTTACAGCTATCGAGTCCTAGAGTAGGCTTCTCAAATAAAGTTAAAAGGGCCAACTCATTAATTTTGAGCAAGTCGCCAGCTTGAAATTTTTCCGCTAGAACTGGCAACTGATTTGTAACAATCTTTGTAGAAAGGTCATCTGGCTTCACTTTGATTGTATATAGATCCATGGATCCTTGTAGGATCGTCAACTTATTTACATTATTCGTCAAGAGTGCTTCGTGAAAATTATAATCATTGATACCAGAAGACTGTAATTGTTTGTGTGGGATAGTTGTCGACGCGCAGTTGTGGAAAAGTGGGCAGCCAAATAAATAGACTTTACGCAACTGGGGTCTGTGTACGACCCGAAAGCTATGGGCTATTTTCAGCACTGGCGCCTGCACCTGCTTCTGCAATTCAAGCTGGGGCGAACTACCGTTTGTGTCAACCCAAAACGAGTTTCGTAAATTAAAATCATCCTTCAAGACTGCAGCGTGGCTCTCGCTATCTAGCGCCTCATCCGCAAGTGGAATGCTGTGGTTGCTCCCAGCAATGAACGCGCGACTGCATCTGGAAATATGCATACGATCTCAAAACACTAAGTTATTGTACACGTACGCTCCAGTACGCTCTGTACTTACAATTGCATCCACATAATTTGTATGCATGTATACTTAAACAATA